CTGAAAAAATTTCCTGCACCTTAAAAAGAGGTCTCCAGAGGTCAATGCTCATATGCTGCTTCCTGAAGAGAGACCCTGGTTAGGGGGACACTCAGCAACACTCACGGGGCATCAGACATGTTGCAGGGTTAACCACCCCCAACAAGAGTTTGCTGTGACCCCAAGGCACGGACAGCATTCCTGCTCACAAAAATGTAGTTGGCCAACTTATCTGTTATTAAGAAGCAAAAAATAATAAAAAGTTCATATTTCTTATTAAAATTATTTATGAGGTGGAAAAAGAAATTGTAATAGACAAGAACAAATTTGACTCCATGTTAGATGTGTTCCTTTGGCTTTAAAACTGTGCCCTGTTTTCTAGGCTCAGATTTCCTAGTTCTGCACTTTCTGTAAAAGAAAGTTGCCTTTAGCCTGAAATATCCAGGAGGGCCTATTCTCCAGGCTCTGATCTTTAAGGATGTTAGATCTGCACTTATGTAGAGATGGCAAGTTGCAAAATAGAGAATAACCTTTGTTTTTTTGGAGGTATTACAGGGGCACCATGATTTGACCCATATGGACAGCTGCAAGAACAAAGGATTCCAAGGACAAACAATTCAAACAGCAAAAAGTTTGCAACAACCAACCACACCCCCGCCACTTTTTAGTATAAAAAGAGACTGAATTCTGACTTGGGGAAGAGGGTTCACCAGGATATCAGTATGCCATCTTCTTGGTCTGCCAGCTTTTCAAATAAAGTCACTATTCCTTGCTCCAACACTTCATTTCCTGATTTATTGGCCTGTCATGCAGCAAGCAGAATGAGTTTGGACTTGGTGACAAAATGACTGCATTGGAGGTAGTATGTCTCCACTGTTTCCTCATTTCCAATATGTCACAACCTATCAATTTTATATGCTGTTTAACAACAGAACCAGAAAACCTATCATAGGGAATTGATTCCATGAAAATAAAATTATTTCTACTTCTTCAAAACTTTTTTCTTTTCTATTTTCATTTGTTTTGATTATTGAAAAGAAAATAAAATTCAAATCATTTTATTTCACGTATTTTTGTTATAGCTACATATTTTAAATACCACAAAGATTTAATTGCAATAAAAATTGTTCATCTACTAGTATAAAACTATATAAACAATCAATGTGGATTAGGAAAGGAATGGATATTTACTAAAAATCCACTGTGCATCTACTCTTTTACAAGCATATCCTGGAATATAAGCTCTAATATCCAGAAGTCTCCCACCCCCATTCTCACTGCCAAGTCCCTTAGTAATCAACTACCAAGGCACCAGCATAGAACCACGCAATCAGTATTTTAGGTATAAATGAGAGATTTGGCTCATTCATTTCTGTAAAAAAAATCTTAAAATAAATACTGAACTTATATTCAGAGAAAGAAAATTGGACACAAAAAAGTACAGTTTTTTCCCCAAGGTCACAAAGCTAATAACTGGTAAAGGCAAGATTTGAACTCATCTGCCTGATTCTAAAAACTAAGATGGAAATCCCATTTGATTGTGGAGGTTCCAGCAGCATAGCCTATCAACCTATCTTTGTTCAGACCTAGCATTAGCATGAGACAGCACCCCATTCCTATGGAATTCGAGGGAAAATGATAACAATAAGGATTTTATATCCAGTAGTTTCTTAGGTCTCATTTATATAAAGTGTCAGCAGGTCAGCAGAAAAACTCTTGGAAATATGAGTGGGTCCAGAACTTTTTGCTGATTAGAAACTCAGTCTATCAGGACAGAGTGACTTTCCCATGAGAGGCTACATGGACATAAACTAAAGGCAGCTGAGCAATGAAAACTAGCAAGACCCTGGAACTCAAGCAAGAAGGATCCCTGTCATCTCCCGCCCAGTTTCCCCTTCACTCGCATGGACACAATGGCAGAAGACCCAGGTTCTTGTCCAAGTTACACCATCATGGATTCACATCCATAAAATTTACGACTCTATGCTGCCTTAAGTGTTTTCCAACTCAAATATGATGAAATCAACATCTCAGCAGAATGTCTATGTCTCCACTTTCTCTCTTCAATTAGGAGAATATTTCTATGGCCACAAAGCAGAAATCCAATTAAAAACACCATGCATGAAGCAGGTGAAAGTCTGCGTATGAGACTTTGGTCTCACGCCCAGAGAATGAAAACTCAGAAAAAGTGGTCCTTCTCCCTCAGCAAGTGGGAGGTACCCTGATTGTGTGTGTGTGTGTGTGTGTGTGTGTGTGTGTGTGTA